GTTTAAGTGATAAAGATATAAATAGCGTGAGACAAAGCAGGTAGCAGGAGACAGACAGATAATAGCAAAAGAGAATAAAGTTAGTGTGAAGTTAACTACCATAGAAGTGATAGGCCTAACGTTTAATATGTTAAGAGTGAAACTAACAGTAGAAAAGAAGATAAGAAAAATAATTTTATTCTGTCAAAGCGTGGTTGTAAAGTAATTGAATCAACCTGAGTGCACTTTGACAAAAGGAGCAGAGGATCTTTAAAAGAAAGAAGACCAAACGATCAAAGTAACTCGCGCCACAATTATAAATGAATCACATAGAATTCTAGTGCGATAGAAATAGGGAAGATAGTTTGGCTTGTCAACTAAAATTCTAAAGTAATTGAATAGGCCTAAGTGGATATTTTATAAAAAGGAGAGAACTACATATATAATATTTATGATATGTCCATAATATCTATAGTGTTGAAGAATTTATTGTACATATGTTAACTTGTACTGAATATGTATATTATTTTGAAAACAGTGAAGTGCGTGCTGTTTATTCATTGTTGAATTTATCGCTAACAAGTCACAGACACCTACCGTACAAGAATCCTAAGCCCAACAATAACTTAGTATATATTTATACTTAAGAAATATAACTAAAAGCCTTTTTTACTCTGACAATTGGTGAAGATAAGATTTTTAAATTCTGACATTTGGCGAGCCAGCCAGGATTATACAGTGGTAAATAGCAATAAAAGAAAACGTGAACAACAGTGGAAATAAGTAGGTCTACCTATATACGCAGAACTTTAGTAGTAAGAAAAATAGTGTACAGATTAAAATTACACTATATAACCATGTCAACTGATTTTGATAAATGGGTAGAAAGAGGATCTCAACTTGGGTTAAAAGACAGTGAACTATGAGAGTTTGTTAAACAACAACAGGAACTGTAAAAAGAAGAGAAAGGAGAAACTAGAAATAGAGAAAATGAGAATACAAATTGAGAAAGAAGAAAAAGAGAGAGAGACTAGAAATAGAAAGAATGAGAATACAAATTGAGAAAAAAGAGAGAGAGAAGAGACTAGAAATAGAGAGAGAATAAGAGCACAAATTGAGATAACAAAATTCACCCAACCGAAAGAAGAAGGACCCAAGAATGACAATGAAGTCAGGGCTAGCCAACCCAAGCTGCCCAAATTTGATGAACATAAAGATGACGTGGATGCTTTCCTGGAGAGATATGAAAGATTTGCCAAAAGTCAGAACGGGGACAAAGGTGACTGGGTAGTCTGTCTCAGCCCACTTCTCACAGGAAAAAGCCTACAAGTATATGCAGGCATAACGTCAGACGATGCCATGGATTATGCCAAATTAAAAGTAGCTTTACTGAAATGATATGAACTTATTGAAGAAGGTTTTCTTTGGAAGTTCGAAGGAGTTAAACCAGACACTGGAGAAATGTATTTCCGTTTGTGGCACGTCTGCAGTGATATTTCACCAGATAGACTGACATGGCTGTGTTTAAAATAGTTTTGAACAACTGGCTGACCTATTGGGTAAACAGTTCATGACCACATGTTCAACTGACATGTCACTGTTCTTAAAGGAAAGAGCACCAAAAGACATAGACGAGATGATCAAGCTAGCAGAACAGTATATGGAAGCCCATGGAAGTAGTATAACTGGCAAGTCTAAGAATGTCCAGTT